AAACTAGACAAGATATTCCATATTTATCCTTATACGTTATGCGATTTCTTTCCATTTCAGTTTTGCTCTACAATATTAAAAGTTTAACTTTTTAAAGGTCCTTAAAGTAAGTATCAGCTTCTAACTCTAATTATAAATATTCTTAGAAATTTGTGTATATTGTTACAGTTAGGTTACTTACAACTTCAAGATAATAAAATTAAAAGCTCTACAGTTACAATTTAAAAAGGTGTTTGTTATGTCAGCCATTTGAATTCAAAGGCCCGGCATGGCCAGGTGGTTAGGGCGCTCGACTCGCAATCTAAATTATTATTTTTTAATTAACAAATATCACTTTATCAGGTCTTTTGAAAATACGCTTTTCAAATAACAGTTTATAAGGAGGAAACATCAGATCAACACATTGATCTATATTAAATAATAATATTGATAAAAACCACTACTATATTTTATCCAGCCGAACATTTTAGCTCTAAGAGCTACCTTGTTATTTAGTATTCAGTTACGTATTTCAGGATCTGAAATTTGTATTTTTGAAACGTTTCTGAAGTTGAAATCTATAAAAACCGAAACAAATAACGTTTGTATGCATAATCAAATATTTTATTGGTTAAAAAATGAATCGACTAGTTTCGCCAACGATTGTTACCATCAAATTATCGACATTCTGTGACGCATGTAAACACGTGTTTGATGCAGAAATTGATGTTTCGGCTACGTAGAGAGATAAATAAACGTGTTTCAACAATAAATCTTTTGTTATGCTTATAACTGGTGTTTGCTTCAGTTTTTGGAGAGAAATTTGTATTATAATATGGCTTAAAATTACGACGTCGGAATGTTTTAATATTCCGAAAGAATAATATTCATCATGATCCATCAGTGAAATATATTGGAAGAAATAGAGAAACACATTTTATGAAAGTAAAAAAACATGCATATAAAACAGAATTAGAACTTGGCAACACATTTATCGCTAGAGGCGGAAGCCGCGAACTTTTGATAATTTAGATATTTGAGGTTTAGATGCGTGAAAATTGTCTGTTTTAGATTTTTGGTTTAAATTATACGAAACCAAAGTTGGCTTTAAAAAAATTTGATCATTCAACAAAGAATCTGTAATATAGTAAAATTTTCTTTGGTCTTTAGTACGTCCATTTGCTTATTCAGAGGGTTGAGTATGTTATACTAACCCTTGAATGAGGGCTGTTCCGCAGGACTTGAGAAGAAAAAATTGGATAAATGATAATCAAGAATAAATTGACAAGTTTAAATGAAAACTTTATCTAGTTTTATTTTGTGCGATGTTTACCTAGTTTTATTTTGTGCGTTGTTTACCTAGTTTTATTTTGTGTGATGTTTATCTAATTTTATTTTGTGCGATGTTTATCTAGTGTTATTTTGTGTGATGTTTATCTAATTTTATTTTGTGCGATGTTTACCTAGTTTGAATTTGTGCGATGTTTATCTAATTTTATTTTGTGCGATGTTTACCTAGTTTTATTTTGTGCGATGTTTACCTAGTTTTAATTTGTGCGATGTTTATCTAGTTTTATTTTCTGCGATGTTTACCTAGTTTTAATTTGTGCGATGTTTATCTAGTTTTATTTTGTGCGTTGTTTATCTAGTTTTATTTTGTACGATGTTTACTTAGTTTTATTTTGTGCGCTGCTTATCTAGTTTTAATTTGTGCGATGTTTCGAGCAGACGACCTTCGTCAGTCAGTAAAGACCGTGATATAATGGAATTAGGCTCAAAAATAGAAACTTGCCACAAGTAACTTTCCAGGAGACATTTTTGCTCCATATCAGAACAAACAGCACATCCAACCACCTTACCTCAAAGGTTTGTTCACGATCTTTAGTGACAATCTACACATCCAACCACCTTGCCTCAGAGGTTTGTTCAAGATCTATGGTGACAATCTGCACATACAACCACCTTGCCTCAAAGGTTTGTTTATGATCTATGGTGACAATCTGCACATACAACGACCTTGCCTCAGATGTTTGTTCACGATCTTTAGTGACAATCTACACATACAACCACCTTGCCTCAAAGGTTTGTTTATGATCTATGGTGACAATCTACACATACAACCACCTTGCCTCAAAGGTTTGTTCAAGATCTATAGTGACAATCTACACATACAACCACCTTGCCTCAAAGGTTTGTTC